CCCGCCAGAGATCTATCTTGTGGCATGTGCAATAAGAAAGCCATGAGTATGTTTCTGGAACAGTCTCATATGATGCACAGATGTTTCAGAGACCAGTAAGTATGTGTTTAGGTTAAAATGCAAGTCTTCCGGGTAGTATCCATCTTCGGAATTTTTTATCTCTGTTTCCTGCCCGAAGCCTTACCCCGAATCATGGACTCTTGGTAGCTTGAGTTTTTCCCAGCAGGGATCCATAGCAGAAGACGAGAAGAGTCAGGCATTGGGAGGCAGGCCATACCTCTGGGAAGCTGAGACCCGCTCGCCATTTCTTGCTGGTCTGGCTCTGGCTGTTTGGTATTCAGGAGCCACTTTAAGCCAATCTGCACGTGCTACCGGCCTCACCGGCCAGGCCTCCACCAGAGTTCACCCATCTTTCAGATCTTGCCAAGCACCCCTCTTGGAGAGGAAGGACCAAGAATAGTAGCCATTTCCCGTTATCTTTTTTCCCTCAGGGGTCCTACACAGGGGGAATCGAACCTAGTTACGCCAACAAGCTTCTTATCCCGGTTCCTAAGATGACAGATGATGGGAAACGCATGCGTGCGAAAAATCAGAAATGGAAACTGAGAATGAAGGTGGGTTGCGGTGGCATCTGGGGTCCAGACTCGGCCCTCCTGTGAGGGGTACAGGAAATGGGACCATACATGATCTATAGCATGTGGATATAGGATATGGGAGGTGACATTCCCTAAGGGAGACCGGAGTTGTGTGCTGTGTGTCCTTAAGTAAGCGACTTCCTCTCCGTCAGCTTTAAATTCCTCAGCTGTTAAATGTGCGGATGGATTTGCTTGTCCTCTCAGGGTTCTTCGTTTACTTCCAACCCCACGGCCAGACCATAGCTTCTCATAAGGAAACCGTGTAGTATGAATTTCAAAAGAAGTTAGAAATCTGAATTATCATGGGACAGCTCTTGTTTTTCTTAAAGGCATGGGCCAAAGAAGACAGACACTTTTGTGGACTTAATTTGACCTGCATTTTTTTTTTTAAATCTTTGAGTTGGCCCATTCACTCATTTTATACATTTTTTTTTTTTTACATTTATTTATGTTTTGAGAGACATAGAGAGACAGAGCACAAGTTGGGGAGGGGCAGAGAGAGAAGGAGACACACAATCTGAAGCAGGCTCCGGGCTCCAAGCTGTCAGCACAGAACCCGACATGGGGCTCAAACTCACGAACTGTGAGATCATGACCTGAGCCAAGTTGGACGCTTAACTGACTGAGCCACCCAGGCGCCCCTGTTTTAGGAACGTTATAATTTAAGAAAAGAGAGAGAAACAGGTAAAGCACTGTGGTCAACAGAAGAAAGCATGTGAAGTAGCAAGACAAGGCAGTGAAGTGTCTCCAAGGGAAAGGTAGAGGGGAGTGCCTCCGAGGGATGGTGATTGCCATGGGTACTGAGCTTGAACGGGGCGCCAAGAATGGTGTGCCCAGGGCTTTGTACACGTCATTCACTTGATCTTCACAGTAGATCGAGTGGATATCATTGCTCCCAACTTATGGATGTGGAAACGAAGGCTATGATGTTAGAAAAGTCACCTAAGTTCTCATAGCTGGTCGGTGGTAGAGCTGGGATTTGAACTGGGTCTTTTTCCTCCAATGACTCCACCATGCAGCTCCTAGGCTCTGAAAACTTAGTTGATGAACGAGAGCCAAGGAATTCCAGCCCAGGTCATGAGAAGTCAAGGACGTCTTGATTAGTTCAAGGCAGGATATCAGAGCTGCTTGGACACTGGAGGGGAGGCAGGTTGACAGATTCTGGGGAGAGACTTCTAGGTGGACGTCGTTATTTGGTTAAAGATCAAGAGGGAGATTGAGCTGGGAAAAGTGGGCATCCCAAGGAGGAGTCTACAGGTATGGAGAAGAAGGCTAAGAAGGAAGAGAGATGTTCCCAGGGGGGACTCCCAGACGCGAACATGATGTGGTGGTCTTTTTTGCTTTCATGATAAACTCACCCTATTTTTTGGGTTTCCTGCTGGCATGGTTGTCATTTCCTCCTAGAAATGGCTGGAAAGAGGAGTGAGAGTCCAGTTGAGTCATCTGTGCCAGAACTTAGCACGTCTGGCATGCCACAGTGGTCCAGAAAGTGTATGTTGGAGGGAGGGAGGCACAGAGAAGAAGGAAGAAGGAAGGAAGGAAGGAAGGAAGGAAGGAAGG